ACCTATGCTGATGCTGGCATCGCTTCATTTGCAAAGTAAAGAAGTGAAGGGGCTGATATGAAGCGGGTGCGGTGCTGCTAGGATATACACTCTTGTTCGCTGCGGACGGTTGGGCGTGTTAGCCAGTATGAGTGTGTCACCCAGTTGAGGCCGTTCTCTGCCTTCTTGTTGAAGTGCGCATGGTTGTAGAAAACGAGTAATACAGAGGATATGATGCAGTACGTCACTTGCTCGCTTCAACAAGTGGTGGAGAACGAGATTTGGCTTCGCGCCAAATGCAGCCGCACTGACACGCCCAACCGTCCGCAGAGAACCACACTATACTTCCGTTAAGCCAGTTGCAAAATGTTAAAAACATGGGTGACAGACCTCCTTTTCAATACAGTCCACACTTCACCTCCAAGGCAAGGCTCCATGAGCATGTACAGTTTTGCTTTATCCTTGAAAGTTTTGTAGAGCCTGGAATTGTACAGAATCTACCTGCTCTCGATAGGTGAATAGGACAATCTCCGTGTTCTAAAATTAATTCCCTTACTTGACTATGAATGAAGAACTGCTCGATAACATAATATCCCTCTCTGACATGACATGTTTCTCTTGCTTCATATCCACAATGTGTTTCTTGTTTATAACCTGAACATAACACTAGAAATTGTCTCGTCCGCGGTTCAGACAAAGTTCATAAGTGTGTCACTCTGCCAACCGTACTCAAACGGACAGACGGTGCCGATCTTTTGACAGTCAGCATAAAGATTCTCTTCCCTCAAGCACTCACCTTCAACGCAAACACTTTCCCGTTTGCTTTCACCAGTTCAACGCGACCGAAACCACCAACGCCAAGTGTCGTGACGCGTTGAAGCGCCGAGAACGGTATGGAGCAGTACTCGTTCGCAGTACTAAATCGACTGGATTGTTTTGTTTGTCAATCACTGATGAACTTTTTGTTTACGTTTCCTACGATTCCTACGGTTTTGAGGTATTTTGCCATTTTACTTCCAGATCTATCATGAGCTATAGAAGAACAAGCCTTATATGCTACGGAATAACAAGCCTTATATAAGCTACTCACACAGCCTTATGACTTTACCGGAGCTCAGGAACGGAGAAAACAGGCCACAAGCCAGAAAAGGCATTTTGCTAGAAAACGGTCACGCAGCCGAGCTATGATTGG